GAAAGAGGCGGGGAGCGGAGCGGAAAGCAGAAGGAAACAGTGGGACTCACTCTTGTTGTAGCAGGTGGTAAGCACAGCCTTATCGGCAGGACTGGCGCCAATGTGCCATATCTCCCCGGCTTGGTGCAGAAGGACATTCTTATTAATGATGTTATTCTCATCATCAAAGTCAATGATGTGGATCTGAAAGAGGAGCACAGAGAGGGAAGATGTGGAGGGCTCACCTCCTTCCACTCCCCCCAAATGCAGTTCAAAGCAGCATCCGCTCCTCTGATTCCCCCGAAAAGAAGAAAGTCACCCTTTTTTTAATATGACAGTAATTTCAAAGCGGGAGGCACTTTGTTTCTTCTTTTTCTCTCCCGTCAGCTTCACAAGACACACCATTTTCCAGCATGATAGGCCTTAAAGGCAGCTATTAAGACACTTTCAGAAGTCGGGCCGGATCCGGAGGACTGACGCACACGTTGGAGACGTCAGGAGGAAAAGGTGTAACAAAGAGGACTTCCATAAAAGCTCATTATGTCGTTGTTTGTCGTTTTTTTTTTTTTCCCTCAGACAAACGAGCGCTCTGAAAGAGGCAGAGGACGAGGTCCATTATCCGAGAAAGCTTTTTCTGCACGATACGTTTAATTGGGCATTTCCTTAAGACGTTTATCGTAGGCAAACTTTCAGAGCAAATAATAATTCGGCTTTAAAGGCGCCCTGCGCTCATATGTCTAGTTTTGATCTGCCAAGAGAGTACATTCTCATTAAGAGCACCATTACACACGTGTACTGGTTGTTTCGAGCTCTATGGTTCATGTGAGGGCTGCTGTGCTTTATGTCTGTGTGCGACGAACAAGCAAATCAAGACCTCTTAGAAATGTGTCTTTGTCCCTTTAACTGAGCTTTAGAGCAGTTTGATTTAAACAGGAATGCAGCACAGAACACGGGAAGAAATGTGCAGAAGCATAGTTTCTTTTTTTTTGCATGTGTTGTAAAGTTCGCAAATCTTTTATGATTAAAATTGTGAACACCCCCTAACACACCAATAATAATACACAGGATGACTGTTATCCAGGCAAAATACGATAGCACCAATAACAATTTCATAGTAAAGTACAAGCTGTTGATGTATTAGTTTGATATCATCTGACCCTTAAACCCTCTTAGATTGGGAGGCCTAATTCCTTACCAACAGAAACCACTTAAAAACGTAACTTTTGTCTTTCCCAACAAACCGATTTCTCATCTTGAAAAATACAAAGTTCCAGGAGTCGGTCGCTTGAACTTGCATTAACAAAATCTTTACCTAAATCCAAAATGCCCTTAAAGTTGTGATTATTGTATTGCTGTTTCATTTATCTGTGCTCTGACCTCACTCTCGGAGAAAAAGAAAACACCCAATTGCTCCTTAAGACTTGTTACTGGGGAGGTACCATCTAAGGTCCTGCAGTTTTACCATTGTAGTTTGTCTATTTACTACTTTGGAATATAAATACACCTTCCAGGGCCTCTAAAAGTACAAATATGAGCCTTGGGATCCAGGTATCAGCTATAAATGAGCCATGTCTGAAGTTTCCTGGATCTGAACATGAAATAAAAAACCTTCAAATGCTACTAGAGCCCATTTTCCCTGGAAACGAAAGTCAGGAGTGTAAGAACCAGACACAGAGAATTAATCAGCCGCTCCACTCCAGGAATGCTTCTTCTTCTTCTTCTTCTTCTTCTTCTTCGGAAGCACACGGCTTTACCAAACAAACTTGACTTTTGTTCAAACGCCTCCTCACAGAGGCCCTTCCGTTAGATGGGAATCTATACTGCAAGGACCCTCAACCGAGCAGAGCTCAGGGTCCATGACGCAGTAAAACAGTGAGGGTGTCAAGGTCTGATCTGAGAATTAATGACGGTTTGTCCCATAAGAAAGACACTTGCGGCACCTCGGGGGACTGTTAATAGGGTTGGATTGGAGTATAAATACACCTTCCAGGACCTCTAAAAGTACAAATATGAGCCTTGGGGTCCAGGTATCAGCTATAAATGAGCCATGTCTATTGCAGGGTCCAAACCTGAAGTTTCCTGGATCTAAACACGAAATAAAAAACCTTAAAAAGCTACTAGAGCCCATATTCCCTGGTAAGGAAAGTCAGGAGTGTAAGAACCAGACACAGAGAAATGCTCAGCAGTTCCACTCCAGGAATACTTCTTCTTCTTCTTCTTCTTCGGAAGCACACGGCTTTACCAAACAAACTTGACTCCTCACAGAGGCCCTTCCGTTAGATGGGAATCTATACTGCAAGGACCCTCAACCGAGCAGAGCTCAGGGCCCACGACGCAGTAAAACAGTGAGGGTGTCAAGGTCCGATCTGAGAATTAATGACGGTTTGTCCCATAAGAAAAGACACTTGCGGCACCTCGGGGGACTGTTAATAGGGTTGGATTGGACGATAACTCCTGCAGGCACCTCCACTCCCCTCTCCAGCCCAACTTTTACAGGCCGAACGAGAGGATGGGGGGTGGGGTGCAGTAAAGGGGGGAGGAGAGCATCCTTCAGCCTCCTCAAAGTCAGCGAGGCGGCCATTAACCTTGGTTTGGACTGCGTCGAGCAAAAAAAAAATTATTACGCAAAGTTATAATTTTATGGCGGACGGTGGGTGTGCAGCACAAATAAATCCAAACCGTTGGGGGACAGGGTAATCGGAGGGGTCCGGTAATAGGGTCCCCCCCCCAAATGAACCCAGGTGCAAGAGGAGAAAAAGTTCCAGCCCTTTCTCCCCCCCAGGTGATTTATCCCTCATCCGTATGAGCCTGGGGAGTGACTCATAGCCTTCAGCCGCTCGGGCACTGAGCCCAGCACTTTTAATTATGTGCCAGTGGTGGGAGGAATTAAGGGGGAGGGAGTGGGGGGGGGTGAGGGAGAGGGAGAGGGATAAAGCCCCCCCCACTTCACCGCTAAAGCTCTTTAGCCGCGCGGATGACAGCTAGCGGGACGGAGGAGTAGCGGGCGGGCGAGAGGTGCCAAACCCGGGCGCTTTATCTCGTTAGCGGCCTTAAATGCCACGCCGGAGCCGCCTCCGATCTGTCATCCCCCACTATTGGGTCTCCCAGGGATTTGAGAGGTGCTCAGTGAGTTAAGAGAGACATTTCCGACCCCGCATTATGCTTAATGGGAGGTGGAGAGGCCAGCGGGCTTATGGGTGCTGCAGAAGCCATCAGGGGCTGAAAATGCCAATCGGAAAAACATCTTTCATGCCGGTTCAAACCCGGCTAAGCGAGCTTAAAAAATGTTAGCCGGGAAACTTATGAGCGGCGGGGGGGAAAAAAAAATAAGATCCAGGACTAGAAACAAGCTGCAAAGCCACTGTTTAGCTGAGGAATAACTGTCCCAGTTAGGGTTCTTCAGTTTTAGAGGCAGAAAACAAAACATATTTAAAGACTAAAACATAAAAAAAAGAGTCTGTGTGTTTGGCAAAACAACACAGATAAAGAAAAGGGGTCAGTTAGAAAAGCAGCGATTCTTTGTTATAGATGGCTAGTTTTTTAAAGCTGTTTAGCCTCTCTGAAACAAGCTGATTAACCCTTTCATGCATGAAAAATGATCATTTCAGTCAGGATTTTTTTCAGTGTTTTTTAAAACATTATACAAAAGTATTATTTTTGGGGGGGGAAACTGTGTTCATTCATTTCATTTATTTGATTTCTCCAGATGTCCACAAACAGTACATGTTTTCAAATGTCTTACTAATAAAATACTGTATGTTACAGTGTTAACATATTTCTACATGTGTTAACACAATGCATGAACACATTATTTGGCGTGTAAGTCTCCTCCTATCCAAATATTCAGTACTATCTCATCGCTTTTCTCACTCCAGCTCATTCAACCACTTGATTCATTTGAGTCTTTCTCAGCTCTAACAGTAGACTATTGTGGACATTTAAAAAAATGTTTAATGCATCATGCTCCAGTGTTAATTTCAAACATAAAAAACCCATATACACACAAGAAATTGGCTGTTAAATATCTGTCCACTCTAGTGACCTCTATGCATGAAAGGGTTAAAGTTGTTTTTTTTCTTCCTATTTTGAGCCCTGATGCTCTGAGAGACACACAGATGATAGAAAGCATCCTGTGAACCAAAGTTTAAGGAAAATTAGGCAGCGTGAGGCAGGCTAAAGCCTGGAAAACATAAGGAAGACTTTTAAAAAATCAAGAGGTTTTAGGAACCCGGTTGAATTTGCACATAAAAGTCCCTCAAAAATCTGCAAAGATGAGTCCAGAGTATTCTAGTGGCCTTCTAGTGCAGCACACTCACTGAAACTGAGCTAATAATCACCCACGACTACTGCAGAGCCCTTTGACGAAGGACTGAGAGCAGATTAAACATTTCCCCACTGTGACCAGTAAAAAAAACGCATTAATAATATGCTCTAGAATAATTTGGTGCACCATTTTCTATTCAAATATTGCAAAGATTTACTATTTCTTCCTGACCATGAAGCCCCTTCGTTACTACTTTAAATGGCATCTACGCATCCAGAATAAACGTCAGTATCTTGTCTCCAAAATGGAGAATATGTAAAGCTACTGAGAAGAAAAAAAAAACTAAATCAGGCAGATCGACTGGGCTGAATTCTCGCCACTTCCAACAGGCTCCGTATCAGCCTCTCCACACAAGACTTGGACGGGTCCGCGTCTGCGTTCGGTGCCAGACTGCTTTCACACCGGAGCCGGCCAGAAAACAGGCTCCTTTTTTTCCCAGGCAGAGATCTCTCTCTCTCTCTCCCCCCTCCTTTCTCGGAGAGCTAATTATTTCTCCTCCCGTTTAGAGCCAACTGTTTCTGTCATCTGTCTCTGTAATGACCTCTGCAAGTCGTGCACGCACGCATGCACGCACTCCCCTTTTTTCTGTCCCACTTCAGGCGCACACAAACGGGCTCGGAGCTTAAAAACGCCAGCGACAATCCAACAGATTAATGCACACAATGGATAAACATGAGGGTTGTATTCAGCCACACACATGAAGATATGCTAAAAACTAAAGGCTGAAATCAATAAAACCATCAACTGGCAGAGGAGTGCCTCCATTGACGGATTACCTGTTTAGAGCCGGTTGATTTACTGGATAATATGAATAGTAAATGCAGGATAGTTTTTTTTTTTGTTGTTCTGTGTATAGCCAAGAGGAAAAAACTCCCACATTGAGTCAGATGGCCAATTGTCACAGATTCCGAACCTTTCCACCAATGATCCGCTCTGGAGAGTTTATGTGCAAAACGTTTGCTGCTTCCAGCGTTTTGAGAGTTAGTGTTTGCGTCAGCGTAGGAAATAAAGAGAGTTTTGAAGCCATATGGGGATTTTGAGAGCGTGCAAGTTTGTCCGTCTCCATAGTTACGACAGGAAGGCCTCTGTTAGATGTCTCCCAAAAAAGAAATGAGGTTTTCCTAAAAATAAATCAGTTTCAATAAACAAATAGCAGCCTGTGACATGAAATTAACTAACTTTAACAAAAAACTAACACCAGAATTCTTTACATATATTCTCTTTTGAACTTTTATGGACGGCTTTCAGTAAAATTTCAACTTAAAGTTATATTGAATCACAGGATAATAAACTATATTTAATGATGTGGTACTAGTCACAAAATGCAGATCAGTAAAGGAAGACCTGGATTAAAACTTGAAAGCTTAAGAAAAAATGTCTTCTTTTTTTATTTAAAATTTTTTATGTCTTCTAATTGTTAGGATCTCTGTGATATTTCAGCTGCAAACAAAAATAAACAAGCAAACAACAAAGGTCACTGCCAGCGCTTTCAAATATGACTGATATCACACATCGGACTTTTAACCATTTGATGCTCTATTATGAAGCCACCTTTCATAAAAATGATTTCCAGTTTGATAGCAAAACTAATCTTTACAATCACCTACACACATATATATATGTGCTCATGTAAATGTGCTGGATTCCCAGGAGTTTCAGTCCTTAACAGTAGGTGTCTCTGTTGAGAAAAAGAGGCTGTGCCACAGCAGGAACCCACTCAGAATGAGCCCTAACACACATAGAAAATCACACAAATAAAAAGTTATCTGCACACTCCTTAGTTTCTGGCTAATATTTCTGCATAACGGCGAGAAATAGTTGATGTGTTGTATTGAGTCTTGTTATAATCCAGTCCCAGGCTACATGCAGCCACATGGGATGCCAGTTACCGTGGTGACGTCCCACTCTGTGCACAAAATGCTGAAGATTAAAGCTAATCCACGGTTAATATATCCACTCACGCTTGTGAGGTGTGTTACATCATTTTTCAACTGCACGGCCCTCCAGGGCCCACTGGAATCTCTCAGTAACTGACTATGCAGCAAAAAAAATGCAAAGCTGTGATCAATCTTCCATTTGAAGAGGAAAAAAAATTAATGAAGAAGACGAAGATCAAGAGAACAACGTAGACAATTGTGTTGGGGGGAAATTTGGTTGAAAATCATTTTTACACCGCAGCAAAAAGATTTATAGCACTGCATGGGAAGCTGACCCAGAACATTGTATGCAGGGCTCTTTTTGTACAAACTGTTTGGGATTCAGCATGCAGGGTTAAAGACACAAAAACTACATCTTGGGCCAGGAAATTGTTCACACTTTTAAGTTTTTGCTATTACTGTATTTACTCCCTTTGATTTGATTCTTTGAAAAGCCTGTTAACAAATGAAGTCGTTCTCTTCATCACAATTCATCTTTTGGACGGGAGATGATACAAACGATACAAATGTGGAGTAAATAAATGGTCTGCATGTAGATGATGAGAACAGAAACGTGTCTGATTACACATGATCTGCATTCAACATGGTGTCAGATTGTGTTTCTCACCTGGTTGTCAAATTTTAGTGACTGAGTGCCCACGAGGAACCGGATGGCGTCAGTCTCAGCTGTCTGGGCAGTGAGTGCACGCGCCTAAAGAGTACATAGAAGTAATACAAGTTAATAGAATGCAATACAAGTTGTGCAAAAAAGAGGAGGACTAATAAACAGTTTTTTTAAAAGCGTAGCATCGGTGCTGTTAGTAATGAATGGTGTGAAACAGCGTTACGTACCTGGAATTCAAGACCATAAATGACGGGAGCATCATCTTCCATTCTTGCGATTGATGTCAGTGTCTTTAAATTCTTGAAAATCTTTCTCAAACAAAAATACCGTGGAAATACAATATTTCTGATACGTATTGCTCAGAACAAAACGGTAGCATCACTTCCGCGATTTGGAAATCCTAGATGGGAAACAAGCGTCTGCCTAAGATACGTAACAACAGTCGCACAACATTAAACTGATCCTTTAATTTAACGTACAAAATGTTCGAGAATAGCAGATACTTCCGTAAGAGGAAGTTTGTCCCTTCTGGGTTGCTGTAAGTGGCACTTTCATCCTGCGAGCATGCGCACTACATTTCCATCTGTCAGTCTGCAATAAGGTAAGAAAAACCGTCGTAAATGTTTCTGTTTCGATTTAGAATATTTTCCTTTTTGTTTTGCGAGAACCTGCTCTATATTTCCTGTTTGTTTTAAATAGCAAACGGTTTTTAGTGGAGCATGACAGGTGCAGCTAAATACTCAGCTGGGCTAGCTTACGACGGCTAAACGGCTAATGTAGCACTAGCCATATAGCATGTTTATCACAGAAACAAACTTGCGCTATATGACTAATAAATACACGAAAAAATCGTCATATTAAATTGTTAATATTAGCTGTAATCTAGCCCTTATCGTGGCATTCTGCTACTAGTGTTAAGTGCTAAATAATGGCAGGAAGTGACACGGACACCTGCTGTATTTCAGATATCCATTATTCATTATTATTCAAATAGTCCAGTGTGGACATTAACATAATTGTTTTGCTTTGCCTAAATCGCCAAGAACAGCACAATGGACCCAGGGGAGGCTCACGCCCAGCGGCCAGTCACTTTAGACATCACTGTGGAGGATGTAAACAGGGAAGCTCCAGCTCCAGACCTTTTAGAGGCAGCCACCAGCGAGACCCCTCCCAGTGACAACATCATCCTGCCCCAACAAGACAGCATTGACCTGGGCGGCGGGGAGTTTGTCACCCCTCAGGAGGACAGCAGTGCCACGGCCTCGGAGAGCCTGATGGACAGACTCAATGACCAGATGATGGAGAGCGTCATGATTTCTGACTCGCCTAATAACAGTGAGGAGGACGAGGTGGGACCTATTGACTCCTTGCTGGATGGAGGTGAAGAGGAAGGTACAGCCACAGACAACAAAGGGGAGGAAGATCAAACTGGACAGAACACGACTGATATTAAGGTTTCAACAGAACAACAACAGAATGAATGTTTAGAAGAGGACACAAAGGAGCCGATGGAGGCACCAGAGCAAGTCGCAACCTGTGTTACACCTGAAGCTGAAATTCAGAGTGAGACACTTATTCTGAGTCATGAACCAGAACCCCAGTCAACAAAAGAACCCAGCCCAAAAGATGAGGCTATTCCGGTGTGTACTATATTCAACCAGGGCACCCAGCCCAAATCACTAATGCCCGATGGCTTTCAGCCCACTCTTATCAAGTCCCCCAGCTTTAGTTTGGGGAGTGGGGGGGCGACTGATGAGGCAGTGACCCCCAATAAGCTGACCGCCCCTTTAGTATGTCAGCCTAGCCCGAGTCTCAGTAAGTTCTTCACCGACAACGGACAGACAAACCCAGCCGTGGACTTCTTCGATTCTTTCACCGTCCCGTCCTCGTTCATCTCCGTCTCCAACCCCAACGCGGACGTTCCTCCTGGCTCCGCCCCCATACCTCACACCCCCGAGCGCCAGCTATCCTCCACCTCCTCCTCAATCTCCACCCCGGGCGGAAATCTGGACTCTGGTGCTCCCACTCCCGGTTCAGTTTTTGGCCCTCCTCCTCCTCCTTCTTCTGAGCCCCTGACTCAGACTCAGCCCCCGGCCTCCACCACCCAGGCTCAGCCCTTTTCTCAGCTCCAGGCCGTGTTTTCGGGGAGTGATGACCCCTTCGCCACAGCGCTGAGCCTGAGTGAGGTGGACCGTCGCCATGACGCCTGGATGCCGAGTGAGGCCACCAGGAAAGTCCTGATCTCTGTGGCCACTCAGCAGTACAGTCCGGCCTACGTAGAGACCAGCAAACTCACCATGCCTGGACTCAAGTTTGACAACCTACAGGTAGGACACAGTGATGATTAGCAGTTAGCATGCAGCATTTTGTTGCTAATTCAGGGGGCACTGTAGCCCTCTACATTATTATTATTATTTATTTTTATTTTATTCTATATTTTTATTTCTACATTATATGTCCTTTCTTGTTTCTCATAGAAGTGTTGTGCACCAAACACCAAAGCAAATTCCTTGTAGGTGAAAAACCTACTTGGCAATAAACCTAATTCTGATTCTGATTCAACTTCTTGGATATTGTAGCGAAGCCTTTTTTTTAGTTAAAGCATTTCTGTAATCCTGTGTGGTCAAAGGTAGAATGAATCTTAAAAAAGATCCCCATTTTAGAATATTTACATGTATCATCAAATGAAGTACTGATCAAATAAGAATTAAAGTAAATATTTATTCATTTTTCTGATCAGTTAATCTGAGTCCTTTTTATTGTTTAATTACTATAATATTAACATAATGAAAGATCCCATCTTTAACTTTGAGTATTGACAAATTCTTTCTTTGGGTAACTAAAAGTGTGTTAGGGTTAGGGCACTACTGCAATTTAAGAAGCTTATACCCAGATGACCTAATTAAAGTACCATAATGATTACAGAAAAAGCTAATGAACAGTTTTGAAGCAGTAGAAGTTAAGTAGGTGTTTTGGTCTGGTCAAGACACTCTGCTCTAATGAAAACGTTTTGTCAATCTTCATGGTTATCTTTTCTCTTTTCTTGTTATTGTGTTATTGTTAAGTTCTTTATAAATCATGTTGCAGACCTCCATTTTTTTTGCTTATGATTCCTCTCAGTTTTTCTACCTAATGTTGAAGTCTTTAAATCCAGATATATTTTATTTTCCCCACTCCAGGGTCAAGGATTTTATTCCCAAGAAACATTCTTAAAACTTCTTCAACAGATACATTTCTATGAAATAACAATGCAGATGAAACTTCAGCTAATTGTTATTTAGGGAACTCTTATGGCTCAGATTGTGTTCATTATCCTCTCTGAATGTGTTTGATTGCCAGCATGAATAAATGATTAAAAATCAAGGATACTTCTATCATCTTGCTGGAAGAGCCAGCTTCAAGAAAGCAAATTAGTTCTGCCTTAAATTTGCTTTTAAAATAAGAAACACATTTTCTGTATTCTGCATTTTTCAGACTCCCTCGTGGTGTCAGATATAGCTTTTATCCCCTTAAATGGACATGTTTGTAACAACAAATCTGTAATCAACCCTGATCTCTTCACCTAAAAATGTGTAGTCATAGTTTAAATTAAGCATAACAGAGTCAGTACTGCAGTGGGTTTATTGTCTCCTTTAAACTGATCCTTAATGACTGTTTCTTTGACGCAGGGGGATGCGGTAAAAGACTTAATGCTCCGGTTCCTGGGAGAGCAGGCGGCCATGAAGCGTCAGGTCCTGACCGCCAGCTCTGTGGAGCAGTCCTTCAGCGGCCTCAAGCAGCTCATCGTAAGTTGCTCCCAGCATCTTTGTTCATGAGAAATCTGAAAAAGTTCTCCCAAGACCCACAACACAATAACACAAAGATCTGTCTTTAGTTAAATCAGTTGTTAGCCTGAAACTTCAGGTCACTCCAGACCTGACAGCCATCAACTTATTAGTTTTTCTTTATTTCCGAGATCCAGGCTTTTATCAAATCTATTTTTTCTAATAATCCAGGCTTCATACACACTGTTGAAAGGTCCGGTATACATTGGTAAAGCCTCTTATTCCACTCAGGTAGTTCAGAAACTGAGCCTCACTGAGAGCTAGAGATCCATTTTTCCTGATAAAGCACAGGCTGAGCTCCTGGAAATGGAAAAAAAATGCCCAGGAGCAACAAGAAGCAGGAAAACCAATCAGAGCAAGGAAAAGGTTGTGACTTCCATGCTTAGAAAAGCATCTAACCTGTAAGCAAAGATGAAGATTATTTTATTGTTATGATATGAAGGCATCCTCCAGTGGAATCCCTGTTTACTGATATGTTTGGGAATGCCCCCTAACAGGCTGCATACATGTGACAATCACATTTTATTTTTACCATTTTCAGTAAAAGCCTCAGTTTTAAGCCCTTCTTACTGTGTCTATGAGAAAATACACAATAATAATAACATAAAAGCTGTTTTAAAGTATGCTTTTATTAGGGATGGGACGGTTTCTGAAAACCGTCTGAACCGTTCGGTTCGACTGTCTCGGTTCGGTTCGCGTGTGTACCGCACGCTTCATGCACTGCTCCTTTTTCTCAGAGGGAAGCGTGTTCACTCCAGACCAGAAGGGGGCGCTACTGCACCCAAAGTCAACCACCAGTAGTAAACAAGAAGAAGAAGAGAAGCAGCGTAGCCGATAAAAATCCGACGCGCCAACAGCAGTTTCTAGGTCTGCTGTATGGACCACTTTGCATTTAGAGGGAAGCACATGTTGGAATTAGCACTGTTTCCTCTCTTGCAATGCCAGAATCTCACCTACTTTTAACCTAAGACTGTCACAATAATGGATCAAATGTCAGACTGCTTTTTTCTTTCAGTTTTTACTAGGGATGGGGATCGAAACCCAGTTCTACAAGGACCTGGTTCCACTTTTTTCAAAACCCAAAAATCAATAACGTTTGGGCTTATCGATACCACTATCGAGTCTGGTCGTTTTTTTTTTATTACAATAATAATTGTGAAATCTGTGTTGTAATCGGCAGCATACAAGCTAGTTAGCTTGAAAAGTAAATAAAGTTTCAGACGTGCTGCGTGATGATGTGTTCAGATAGGCTCAGTAAAACGACAATTAGGTTATCATGATGCGTTCAAGTGTAACGTAAAGAAAAGGGAAATTGAGTTTTTGGCGAGAAACATGAGTAATACAGTTGTATATTGCTCTAATTATTTTTAGAATATATAATTAAACTACTGATGCCAACATTTATTAAAAATTACATTTAATTTAAAATACAATTATTTATTTGTTAAATATTGTTGCATCGTCTTTCCACCAAATAACAGAAAATTATCGATAGTGGTATCGATAAAGACTCGGATCGATAAGGAGTATCGATAAAAGTATCGATATCAATAAATATTAACGATCCCCATTCCTAGTTTTAACCTGACTATACAAGACATAATAGATTTTCGTAACGATCACCATATACCGAACCGAACCGAAAACCGTGACCACGAAACCGTGAAACGAACCGAACCGTGGATTTTGTGAACCGTCCCACCCCTAGCTTTTATTGTTAATTAGCTAAAGGAGTAAGAACAAAGCCTGCTCACAACACATGATTTGACTTGTGCACATTTAGAAAAGGTCAGCGAATGATGGAGTTTAAACCTGTCAAAGATAGCTTTATAAATCTTGCATAAGGCGACTCAACAAATCTAAATATAACAGCTAAAAAGCAGTCGCTTTCTAAGAGCTGCGTCTCGCTTCCTGAAGGTGAACGACAACCTGCAACTGTGTGGCTTCTGTGTGTGCAGACCTTTTGACAGTCAGCCTGTAAACTTAGTGATCCTGTTTTAAAGTTAGTGATCCTGTTATAAAGTTAGTGATCCTGTTTTAAAGTTGGTGATCCTGTTTTAAAGTTAGTGATCCTGCCGGAGCAAAGCAGCTGCTCCGGTCTCAGCCGAGCGAGAACACTGAATCACCCTCTCTCCTCACTCTGTGTTTCTCTGCGCACTAGGGTTGTCACGATACTAAAATGTTCAACTCGATACCGATACTCAGGAAAATATTCGATACTCGATGGCATTTTCGATACCACAAGGATAAAAAAAAAGACCCCAAAATTTAACTGAATTGTGTCTTTCATTTCAAACTGACCTGTTACTGATGTTATCGGGACTGGTGGCCCACATTAATGACCCTAACTCTAACTCTAACCCTAACCCTGATCCTAACCCTAACCCTCTAGCCTTCATAATTGTGAGAAATAAATATTTTTTGGTTAAACTTGTTTGGACTTATTGTACAAACCTATTTAACATCCACTATTTTAACATAATATTATGGATAGAGTTTAAATCAGTGTTTGCAAGATTCATTTCACTGTTTTTAAATTAATGTCTATATTGCCATGAAGCAATTAGGATTTTCTTCCCTGGGATCTTCCTATTGGTGACTTAATCAAAATGGCCGACTTGGATGTGGGCAGAGTTGGATATGTACTTGATTAATGTTGGCGTGTTATTATTATCCATTAGCTGCAGCTAGCAAGGCTAACGTCTTGTTAATGATCATAAACAACGTAAATAAATACATAAATAAATCAGAGAGAGGGGGGGTGGTATCGATACTTTTGAAAATGAGTATCGTATCCGGATACAACATTTTAGTATCGATAATTTTTCGAGTATCGATACTTTTGACAACCCTACTGCGCACAGAGCATAAAACGGCTCTTTTTTTATGGCCGTGCGGCCTCACCTCGTTCCCCTCCCTGCTATCTATCTTCCTCCCCGGCCCGTTGTGGCTTCCCTCCATCACAATTTCTGATCCACAGATGACCCTGTGAGACGGCTGTTGTTTAAGCCAGTGTTTTTCAACCTTTTTTGAGCCAAGGTACAGTTTTTCATTGAAAAAATCTCGGTGCACACCAACCAAAAATGTCAAACAAATCTGTAGCCGCCTATAGTTACACTATAGTTATTCTTATCTTATTCTTATCTTAAGTTTCTTGAAAAGGAATCAAATAAACACAAAAGTGTATTTTTTTATCATATTTTATATTTCTTCTTTCAAATTGCACTTAACATGTTCACTTCAATATACAAAATTATATACAAAATCTAGTCATAAGGAATTATTACATGATTACGCCACCAGTCACTAGTACAGCACAGACACTCAAAAATGGCATATTATTTGCAGATAATTAATTCCTTATCAAAAAATCTTTTTAGACCAATTAGGTGAAATAGGATGATTTTCTACGGCACACCTGACCATCACTCGTGGCACACTAGTGTACCGAGGCACGGTGGTTGAAAAACACTGGTTTAAAACACACGCACGGCACCAGAAAAGTGTTTTGATGCGAGGAAAGCCGAGAGGAGGGTGGGAGGGGTGGAGTGAGGAGATGGAGAGGCGGAGATCCACTCGACTCACAAGTTCCTTTCTCCTGCTGGGCCCATGTATTATGCATGGGACTGCTGTGCATATTTCAAGGGCCTTCTGGACTCGGTGTATATATAAACACACACAAGCTGGTACTTTCAGCTTTCAGTCAGCTGCAGTATACGGCGTAGGTGAGGTGTGTGTGTGTGTGTGTGTGTGTGTGTGTGTGTGTGTGTATAAGAGGATCATATGCTGTCACTGATTGGTGTGGGTGGCTCCCCGAAGCATTCTGCAAATGAAAGGGAGAGACAGGGAGTCAGGAAAGTAACTCAAGCCCACAGCAGAGATGTCAAAGAGTGGTGAGCTCAGAGGAGTGTGAGGCTGTTCATACCTGAGACAGGCAGGGCCAGGGCTCTTTGGACCATTTGTTATGGTTTTATTTGAAGGAACCTAATGTAAAACTGGCCGCCTTCGAATCCAAACATGCTATAAAAGAGCGTCACCAGTTGTCACTTTACTGAACTATTTATTTAACCTTAATTAAAAGTCCTTATTTGAAATTAAATCATTCAAATATCTATCTATTAGATTGGTGACGGCCCTTATGGATGTGGGGTTCTCCGATGTAGGGATGTCCCCATCCAGCTTCTTTCACTTTCGATTGGATAACAATACCGGCCAATCCCGATCCCGGCCTATCAGAGCATGTGTTAAAGTCTAAAGTTATTTATTCTTCTTACTTAGCTGTCAGACTCATGTTGAACAGGGATTTACTTTGATAGCAACTTAATGGTTAGGACACAGACCTGTGGGTTACAGATGCTAATGCTAATGCTAATGCTCGTTTGGGATCGGACTTTAAAAAAAACTGGATCTGGAGTCTGGATCTGCATTTTCTCCTGCCGGCCGATACGCATTTTTTTGCAAATATCGGCGGCCGATTTGATCCAGATATCGGATCGGGACCGGCCTACTCTGATGCTCTGCCTGTTACCTAAGCCGGTCCAGTCTTCAGGGACTGATGGAGCATTATTGATTAGCGGTAGAAGGTGAACAGCTCCTGTGGATCATGTTCTAGTGGGCATTATTTCCACTGTAATGCATCTCCACCTAATTACAGCGTTATAACACAAATGTGAAGATGTCTCCTGACCAGTTCTCTTTGCAGTGTTTTAGTTTTAGCATCTGGTTCAAAAGCAGGTCAGAGCTAAAGCACAAACGCTGAACACCCAGATCCCTGCCCTCTAATCAGGAGCCAACGTGTCTCCCGTTATTTGATCATTTGCTGATGCAATAATGAAGCGGATCCGGCTCCACGCGAATCCTTCCTGCTCTCCCTAACTTCAATTCATCTGATTTAGTTGCCGATGAATTATGGAATTGCTCAACCTCAAGATCAAACGAGCCCATTGATCAAAGCTGTCGCA